TTTCGAGCAAGGGAACCTTTACCTTTACCTTTACCTTGGTGGGAAGGTAACAGCATTCCGTGCACCTCGGCATCTAGTCATGCCTGCCACATGTCCATGGAAACGTCTTCGGACGGCGCTGGCTCTTCGGCTCGGAAACGGAGATGAGCACTGCAACCCTAGAGTCCGATTTGACTGGCTTTTGAGCAAGGGAAACCTTTACCTTTAGTTCACCACTCATGGGAGATCCAATGCATTACTTTCTCCTGTATAAGTTAATGGATGCTGTGAGGCCAAAAGAAAAAGAAAAAACAAAAACAGAAGAGGGACAACATCCAGGGGTCATTTCCTGCAGGAGTGCACAGGAGCGGAGCTCCGGCAGTAAAGAGCCCAGGCAACAAGCCCCACCCCCTGCTCCCAGCAGCCCTCAGTCAGAGCAAGCAGCAGCCAGGTAAGTTGCAGAGCTCCCCCCAGCCCCCCGGTCCAAAACAGTCCAGTGGCACCTTGAAGACCAAGTTTTATTCAGGTACACACTCTCCCTCCTCTGTGAGGACAGATCTGCACGTCCCCCCTTCCCCCCAATAGCTAGCAACCCAAAACAGTCCAGTGGAGCCTGAGCGGTGGGTGTTGCCTTCTGACACACTTCCGGTGATGTCAGGGGGTGTGGCATATGTAAATAAGTTATGCTAATGAGTTATGCTAATGAGCTCCTGCACCTCTTTTTCTACGAAATGACCTCTGGCAACATCACTACGTGGCAAAACCAGCCCAGAGGGTGGCTTGGGGCCTGCCGACGGGATCCCTCTGGGGTGCGCCTGCGTGTGTGTATGCAACGTGCCCCTGTGCAGAGCTGCTCGGTTTGGAATGTTTCGCACAGGGGACCCCAACGTTTCTGAGCCCACGGGCACCTCTGGAATTCTGAGACAGGGTGGTGGGCTCAAGCGCAAAAAGGGCTGCCGTGGGAGGCAGAGCGAGACACACACACGCAGCCATGATTGTTACATTTTCTTACTTTTTTTTGGTTTGGGGATCTGATTTTAAATAATTAAAAAACAATAACAACACAGAAGAAGCCCAAGTCTGGGGAAAAAGGAGGATGGTTTTTAAAAACACCCTGGGAAAGAGGAGTGAGAGAATAAAACCAGCACTGTGGTAGAAGCCGCTGGTGAGACGTCTTTAAAAAACATGCACAGCCCTATCAGGTCTTCTATGGCCGATTAGATGCCCAGAATGATAAAAGTGTTAGAACACTTTCCCTATGAAGACAGGTTAAAACGCTTGGGGCTCTTTAGCTTGGAGAAACGACGGCTGAGGGGTGACATGATTGAGGTTTATAAGATTATGCATGGGAAAGAGCAGGTAGAGAAAGAGATACTTTTCTCCCTTTCTCACAATACAAGATCTCGTGGGCACTCCATGAAATTGCTGAGCGGTCGGGTTAGAACGGATAAAAGGAAGTACTTCTTCACCCAAAGAGTGATTAAGACATGGAATTCACTGCCACAGGAAGTGGTGGCGGCTACAAGCATGGACGGTTTCAAAAGGGAATTAGATAGGCATATGGAGCAGAGGTCCATCAGTGGCTATTAGCCACAAGGTATAGATAGGGACTCTGGGGCTAGTGATGCTCTTTTTTCTTGGTGCTTGGGGGGGGTCAACAGTGGGAGGGCTTCTAATGTCCTGGCCCCACTGGTGGACCTCCTGATGGCACCTGGTATTTTTGGCCACTGTGTGACGGACTGGATGGGCCTTTGGCCTGATCCAACATGGGCTTCTCTTATGTTCGTATGTTCTTAAAAACCTCACCTGGCCCCGCCCATTTTCTAGAAACACTGGGGGGGGGGGCGCCAGGGAATTTGTTGGTGGGTGCCATGCCCAGGCACCATGTTGAGGACCCTTGATGTAGCTTAACTGCAACTGGAGGAGTTACCGTTAAAGGTGGAGCCTGTAGTGATTCTTGCACTGGAGACCCAAGTGCCGTCAGCCCAGGCCAAAAGATGGGAACTCCAAGGATAGCAACCGAGGAAGCCTCCTAATTGCAACAGGCCAGGCCACTTCATGCCATTTATCTTCCAGCCGCCCCCCCGAAAGTGCCTGGGTCAGGCTTTCTCCCTGCTCTCGCTGCATTCACGGTGCTCCTTCCCTTCTTCCTGCAAGCCCGCTCTCGTCACATCTCGGAAGCTAAGCAGAGTCAACTCTGATTACTTGGATGCGAGACCTCCTCGGAATACCAGCAGTCGGGAGGCGGGGGCAGGCTTTACTCAGCCACCTCCCTGAATATCCTCCAGGCCCCCAGTAGGGGTCAGTCACAAGAGGTTGCCAGGACTTCCAGGTGCACACACACACACACATGAAAAATACAAAACATACCCCCCCCAAAGGAGATGGTTCCAGCCATGCAGTTTGTATTCTGGGTTTGGACTGACCACTTCCTGGACTTATACACTTCATTTAGCGACAGGTCAAAAATCTGCACTTCGCAACGGCCAGATCAAAAATTTGGAATGCCAAGCTCCGAAGCTGGATGCTCTGCCCTGGACAATCTTCTTTCCCCACTTTCATCGCTGACATTCAGGGGCTCAACACACTGTGAAGGAAACGCTCTCTGCACGTGCTCAGAGGCTGTCGTTACTTGGAATTGTGCAGGATGGAATCCTGACAATGAAAAAAAACAAGGATCTGGAGTGAAAGCACTATGGCAGAGCATTCTATACCCACAGGGATAATAAAGAAGAGGATATTGGATTTATACTCCGTCCTTCACTACCCGAAGGAGTCTCAGAGTGTCTTACAATCTCCTTTCCCTTACACCTCTCAGGTGGGGCTGAGAGAGCTCTTTCGAGAACTGCTCATGAGAGAACAGCTCTGAAAGAACTTGTAACAGACCCAAGGTCACACCAGCAGCTGCATGAGAAGGAGTGGGGAATCAAACCCGGTTCGCTCAGATTAGAGTCTGCTACACCAAACTGTTAATCATCTGATTCTTTTGGCACTAAACTTGTAAAGGTAAAAGGTAAAGGTTCCCTTGCTCGAAAGCCAGTCGAATCCGTTTCAAAGCCGAAGAGCCAGCGCTGTCCGAAGATGTTTCCGTGGTCATGTGGCCGGCATGACTAAACACCAAGGTGCAAGGACTGCTGTTACCTTCCCACCGAAGTGGTACCTATTTCTCTACTTGCAATTTCTTGCTTTCGAACTGCTCGGTTGGCAGGAGACTGTACTGCTTCGCTTTTGGAAGCTCTAGGAGGATGAACCGTTTCATATTTGATAAGAGAAAGGGAGTGTGCCCATTGCCCCACTTCCTCTGCAGAACTGAACACAGTGCAGGGTCCATTTGTACACTGGAACAACCAGAACCCCACTTTCAATTTGGGATATGGATAGCGGACTCAGCAAAGCCCAGATCATGGATCTGGTCTAACCTCTTTTTCATTTATTAGGTAATTTTCTTCCCTTGGGAGTTTGGGGTAGTACACGGGACAATACTGTGCCATCCGGGCTTATGCCCGGATGGCACAGTATTGCCCCGTGTACCACTTCAAACTCCCCGGGGAAGAACAATAATCTAACAAATAAAGAGGCTGGACCAGACCCATGACTCATCTCTGGGGGCAGAGTAACTGAAGATACGCCTCGAATGTTTAATTCAGAATTTCCAGAACGAATCCAGCCAGCAGGAGTTTCGTCAACATTGCTCTAAGAGCATCCTAAGCTTTTCTGCACAATAACTGGGGGAGGGGGGGGAGTCAGACCCCCTAATAATAATAAAAAGAGGTGCCTTAAGAGAGGAGTGACAACATCTCAGGAACAGAGAGATGCATTGTTGCCGGCTGCTGTAATCCGGTGACACAGTGCTGTCAGTCACCACCCCGCTCCCCGCTGGGCCCGCGAGACATCAAAGCCGGCCCCGGCCCATCTTACATGCTCTTTATCGGCTAATCAGCCTATTCTTCACTAAATAAAGCCCGATAAATCCCCCTCGCTCGCTGGGGCATTCCCGTCCTGCTGCCCATCTGCTGGTGTGGGTCAGCCGAAGCAGGAGGCAGCGAAAAGCACAGCCTATCCCCAGGGATTCCCAATGCAGGGACAATGCCGCTCGGCCAACTTCCCCCCCACCGCCAAAAATGCCCCCCCCCCCATCCTACTTCTCTTTTCTTTTCCAATTTTTTTTTTTGTACCTTGTACGGCCCGAACTAAAGATGTCATACATGATGCGGGTTGGGGAACTGTGAATGAGGATGGGGGGGGGGGGGGGGGGATGTTAAATTGTACGGCCAGTTCTTGCGGACTGAACGTGACAACGACTGAGCGTACATAAAGAATCTCTAGGAAATGAAGTGTGTGTGTGCGTGTGTGCGTGGAGGGGATCAGAACCAGAAAAGCAACCCAGATGTTTGTGGAGAAAGAAAGAGCGGCATAAATGGAAAGGTAAAGAAAAAAATTGCAAAGAGAAGTAGAAAAAGTGAGAGAGGAAGAAAGTTATTTATTGATTATTTTTTGGTTCCCCCACTGACGTTTCTTTGAACAAAACATGGCCTCAAACTAACAAGGAGAGGTGGAGGAGGAATACTGCTTGCAACCTTCCACAGTTCCATAAATCTGCATATTACTCAATCTTAACAAGATCAATTGCCCAATGGTGTCCCATGCCCCTCCTGTAATTTTAGTGAACTGCAGTGTATACACCAAAGGATGCTGGGGTCATTTGCAGCCCTAACCGCAGTGAATGGGACAGCAAAACGACCATATAGAGTGAAATTCACAAAATAATATTTTCTGTCCGGTGTCTTTACTGCCGCTTCTGTTTCTTAACTGGCAAAGGGAAATGCTTAATAAACGGCCAATGGCTTTTTGGCTGCTGATGGCATCCTCAGTACGACCCACAAATTTTGTAATCTCTGTGACCTCTGTTTTAGGGTCTATTTGACACCCCTCCCCCCCATTACCAAAGCACACTTTTGTTTTGATTGGAACTGCCACCCAGAGCTGACCCCAGTAGCCAGCCGAAAGGAGAACCACCCTACCTTTTCTTCCTTTGATTCTTCCCCTGCTTTGGAACAGCGGGGGTGCTGAGATTCTTGGGGGCATCCCGAAGTCCAAAGCTCTTGGCCACGTGGCCCAAATGAAGCAACTTGATGTGAAAGATGTGCTTGAGGCTGGCTGGGTATGTTGCGTACGAACGAATGAAGGACTGCAAAGCTGGGGAGGGAAATGGGGGGAGGAGGAGAAATGGTTATTGAGGATTCCCTCTGCACAGAAGATAAAATTCCTGTCCTTGTCAGACATCCTGACTTTGAGCTGGGGCTTAGCTCAAGAAAGGCAAGAGCATGTGCAGAGCATGTGCAGAGACCCCTTCACATACACTGAAATAACCCAAGAGCACGCACACGCGGCACATCTAGGTGTGAGATCATCATGGGTTGCATAAACGTAAAGGTTCCCTTGCTCAAAAGCCAGTCGAATCCGACTCTAGGGTTGCGGTGCTCATCTCCATTTCAAAGCCTAAGAGCCAGCGCTGTCTGAAGACGTTTCCGTGGTCATGTGGCCGGCATGACTAACCACCAAGGCGCACGGAACGCTGTCACCTTCCCACCAAAGCGGTACCTATTTATCTACTTGCAATTTCTTGCTTTCGAACTGCTAGGTTGGCAGGAGCTGGAACTAGAGACGGGAGCGCCCTCCGTCATGCGGCACCCGGGTCTCGAACTGCTGAACTACTGACCTTCCACAGCCTGCAGTTCAGCGTCTTAACCACTTGAGCCACTGCAGCTCCATGGGTTGCATGCATTGTACCAAAAGCCCACGTCTGAGAGAGGGCAACTGGACCAAGGTCGCCCACTGAACAGCAAGTTCTAGTCCCAGAAGATCACCACCACACCACACTGGGTCTCAGAAGGGCAAGGTATCAACATCTTCAACATATACATTCTTTCCCTTGTCCCTCTCTAGGAACGGCTACTGCAGCGGCCAGGGTAGCGCCAAAACCCGATATCTTCACATATGACAGTGTTGAAGTCCCCTCTTCCCTCGAGGTTCTTGGTTTTTTATCCGTGTCAGAGGACTCTCACAGGAATACCAGCACCGGCCAGGCCTCTCATTCCCTCTCTCGGGCCCTGCTCTCAGCTAGGCCTCGGGCAGCCTCACCCTCATCACCATCAAAATCAGGGGGGGGGGACCCCCCCTCAGCCTCTTTTGCCCTTCCTTGCTGAGGCACTAGACCGGCAAGTTTGCCCACAGCTTAAGCCTAATCTCTCAGCGGTGGCAGGAGATTGGGGTTTACGAACAGTAATAAAAATGTCATTTTAGCGAGATCAGTTGCTGGAAGGACCCTGGGAATCCATCAAAGCTCTGTTTGCCGAGCAAAGCGAGCTCCATTTCCCAATCAATGAGGGAGTAACGGAGGGGAGGGCGCCGCGCAGCACCTCTTCTCATTTCACCTCATCCATTTTTTAGAGAGAGTCTGGAAGGTGGGGAGGGGGGGGGAAATGGCAAGGGGCCGACCTTTCTGAGGGTTCTGTTCAATACTGCCGGGCGCCACGTCACAGACTCAGAACTAACTTTATCACACAAGAGGCACGTGGGTGGCCACTCACACCTGGCACACTCTTCATTCGCAGGACACGGATAGCTCAGGACAGCCTAAGCGTATCATTTTTTCTCCAACCCTCCATAAGTTTCTAGTCCTCATTGGTGAAGGGAGAAGGACCAAAAGCCCTGTCCTGATTTTGCTAAGGCCGTGTTCACGTAGGGTCCTTGGGGGCATGTGTGGGCCTGCCCTTTGCCTGCTTGTGGTGGGTAAACTCCCTCCATAGCGATGCTCTAGGGATTTCCCTGTGTCCTCCTTGTAAAGACCATAGAGGGGAAATTCCTAGATCAGGGGTGTCGAACTCATTTGTTATGAGGGCCGGATCGGACATAAATGAGACCTTGTTGGGCCGGGCCATGTGTGCCATAAAATGTAATGCCAGGTAGCGGGCTTTATAAAGGACACAGACACAAAGGGGGGTTTTTTTGCTTAAAATAAAAAGCATGCTTAAAACATTAGCACTCTTGCAATATTTTGTTTATTTAACAGTGTCTGATAACTGACACCTCTTGCTCTGAATTACTGCACCAAAATGTCTGTGCTGTTGCAATCTTGGGTATGCTGTTCAGGTGTGTATCTGTAAGATGCAAACTTACGATGACGCAGCAGAACTGGAAGAAGAAGCAGAAGACAGCCAGTTCCACTGCAGGTCTGATAGAAGCCCTCCGGGGGCCTCATCCGGTCCCCGGGCCGCATGTTTGACACCCCTGTCCTAGAGCATAACCTGGAAGTGACACCTCCCTCAAAACCCACCCTACTTGGGCACCACTCTTTCTGTATCCTGCCTGTCCTCCACTTGAGACAGCTCACAACAAAGCATCATTAAAAGCCTCACCTAAAAGCATCATAAACCAACTACAACAACAGTAGCAGCAGGCACTTACGATGCCCGTAAATGGTAAATGGTTTCGGGGGAAAGTAGGTCCTACAGCGTTATATGAAGTCTACAAAGATGCTTTCTAGTTCTTTCTAGCGGCTTGGAGAGCCAGTTTGGTGTTGTGGTTAAGTGTGTGGACTCTAACCTCGGAGAACCGGGTTTGATTCCCCACTCCTCCACTTGCGCCTGCTGATGTGACCTTGGGTCAGTCACAAGCTCTGGCACAGCTGTTCCTGAAAGAGCAGTCTGTGTCAGAGCTCTCTCAGCCCCACCCACCTCACAGGGGGTCTGTTGTGGGGAGGGGAAGGGAAAGGAGTTTGTAAGCCGCTCTGAGACTCCAAGTGAAGGGTGGGGTATAAATCCAATCTCTTCTTCTTCTTCTTCTACTATCTGGAAAGTTAGTTCATGGCCCCAGGGCCACCACTAAAAAGGCCATGCTTCTCATTGAGGCCAGCCTTGACAGCATACTTACAACTCCAGAAGGAAGCAGCATACTTGATACTAGCTATCCAACCAAGATCTGGCTTCAGTTAAAAGCAAGCAACCAAACAAGGTGTAAATTACTAGCCATTCAGATGGGTGAAGATAAGCCTGACATCCAGTGAGGAAATCCATGAAGATGGCCCAGGAGAAGCTCCTACTCTTTTTGAATGCTTCAGAACTTTTTGCCCTGCTCCGGGAATAAATTATGTAAACTAAGTCACGATTGCCTGATAACCAAGGAGTTCAGATTACCTTTGCGCAAAACCCAGGGTGGGGAGGTTGACATACAGCCTTGGACAGCCCAGCCACCAAATGTTTTGGGATTTAAGGGAAGCGCAAAGGTCACCCGACAGTCTAAAGGAGGTTTGCTCTTCAGACTCCGCTTCACTTTCTCACCTGGGGAAATCCTGACCAGCCTTTCTAGGGAGATGACGTACATTAAGCACTCGCGTATTGAAATTCAACGCCAAGTATCAGTATTAAACCAGGAGAAGCACTAGGGTGGCGTTTCTATTCTCTCTGGCCTACAGGGGAGCTGCTTTATACAGAGTCAGACCATTAGTTCGAGTAGCTCACCGTTGTCCATTTGGACCTGTAGCAGCTCTCCAAAATCTTAGGTTGGGAGAACAGATCTTTCCGCTTCCTGGGACCTTTCCCACTGGGTCACTGCTTTAGAGGGCCACTGGTCATCAGGGGACATGGTGAAGATGGAAGCAGGTGTCACCTTGCCCAGTGGATGAGCCTACACTGACTACCTTCGTTGCTGTAACCGGGGCCTAAGCGAAGCAGGCCCTGCAGGGGTGTCAGCACCGAAGGGCTGTTTTAACACCTGTCTGTTCCCGGTCTCAAGCGAAGACAGGCCTTTCCTGGCCCTGCCACCAGTGCTTCATTCAACTGGTTTGACGTGGATTTGGAATCTAGAAGTTCTAGGCAACTACCATGTCTAAAATCAGTTGACAGATGTGTCCCTTATGAGTCTTTTAAAGAACATAAGAGAAGCCACGTTGGATCAGCCCAATGGCCCATTCAGTCCAACAGCGGGGCCAGAACTCCAGAAGCCCTCCCACTGTTGCCCCCCCCCAAGCACCCAGGATACAGAGCATCACTGCCCCAGACAAAGTGTCCCATCTAGACCTTGTGGCAAACAGCCACTCATGGACCTCTTCTCCATATGTTTATCCAATCCCCTCTTGAAGCTGTCTATGCTTGTAGCCACCGCCACTTCTTAAGGCAGTGAATTCCATGTGTTAATCAGTACTTGGGTGAAGGGCTTCCTTTTATCTGTTCTAAGTTTATTGCTCATTAATTTCATGGAGTGCTTGCTTTCCATGGAGTTCTTGCATTACCTTAGATCATCTTATGTTATTTTGCCACCAATGGATTGACCCCAGATCCTGCTGGATTACTCCTATTTTACAAAGATATCACCTCCCTATGGAACCCTGGGTGATAACCATACTATTAGCTGATGAGGACCCTGAAACGACTCGCTTGGTGGCAAAATATCTTTCAATAGTGCTATTTTTAAAGCGGCTTTGAAATGTTATGAGTACCTTTTGTATACAATTTTAAAATTTTAAAACTAATTTCCATAATATCATGGGATTTTATAGAATTCATTGAAGTTTATAAAATGTGGTCTGATGTTACTGATTATGTTTACTAGCTTTTATTGTAAAGGCGTTCTGTCTAAATTTCTTGTAATTTTATGTAATGCATTTTATATTTGTTGTTTGCATGTTTGGCTTAAGACCTCGGGTCAATGAAGCTAATAAATGAAATGGAATGGAGTTCTTGCATTGTAAGAAAGGGAGAAAAGTACTTCTTTCTCTGCCTCCTCTATCCCATGCATAATTCTGTAAACCTTAAGGAGCCATTCAAGCTAGCAGACCTGCCTGTATCCTATTGCAGGCTGATGTGTATCGCACAGGGGTCTTCTGAGGTCCAGGTAAGGTGCCGGTTGCTGGCCCGCTGAACTTCACTGCTGCGCCCTGCAAACAGAGATGACAGCCCCCCCTCGCGGCACCTCCCACAGTCTCCCGAGGCTGTGCAGAGCAGGGTTAGGTTGGTAACGGCGGGCAAGCTGTTTCCAAGGGATGCTTCTTTGCCGCTGCCGCTCCTCTTGCTGAGAAACCCCAATCGGCTTCCCCCGGGATCCGCCAGAGCCCAGCGTGAAAACCACCGTTTCCTCCTAAGAAGTCCCAAATGGCTCAGTCTCCCCAGCTGAGCTTTCGTTTTTGAAAAGATCTGAGAGCGGGGTTGGCTAGGTAAAAAAGATGCCAATCCTCTTGGACGACAGCCTGTGATCCGGCACTGGTATCGACACCACCGGGGTCAACAAATGAAGGAGGAGGGCAGGAAAGAGCCAGAGAGAGAGAGAGAGAGAGAGAGAGAGAGAGAGAGACAGCCGCCACGCGTTAATTATTCACCACCCCCGGCTTGGGCCAAGGAGGAAGAGAAGGGAGGTTCATGGGAGCCAGCTGGCTGTGGAAGTTCTGCATATGCAGAGAGCAGGGAATGAAGTAGGTGGGGGGGGGGGGGCTGGAAAGCCCTGCCTTCTGCAGGAAGCTAACAGGGGGGGAAAATGCAGGTTTTTGGCACAGGTTCCCGATTTTACTCCCTGCATACTGGCACCTCCTGCAAATCACAGAACCGCTTTCTTCTGGGCCTCAGCTTACTCACTGGTAAACTGTGGATGATAATGCTGTGTGAATGCCACAGTTCTTCCAGAGTTTGGAAAAAGTGCAAACTACAGAATTCAGCTTTGGGGGGGGGGAAACACCCAAGTTTCCAGCCCTTATGAGTGCAAGGGCAAAGTGAGTGGGAAGCGCTGCAGAAATCCAATGCCCAAGAGCTGCTGAACAGAATCGGATTCTCCGCTCTGCAGTGGCTCCTTCTTATGATCAGCAAACTTATGAAAAGCAGCATAAATGGCAGGAAACAGTGCACGGAACTCACAATGTGTGTGGTCTCTTAAATGGCATAATTTTATCCCAATGAGAGAGTTCATTCAAGGTTTCCATTAAATGTAGTTACAGCGGTAGAGGGGGATTCACTTGCTGTGAGGGGAGGGGGGGTTCAGGAGGAGGGGTGATCTTCAGGAAGTTGGCTTTGATATCTTAAACCAGCTAAGAGGGAGACGGAATTATGTCTGCACTGCTTACTGATACAAAGTTTTAAAGGTTTTACTTCCCCTGTTGCACTGAAATGAGAAATTACGACGTCTTAAAGTTAGAGAGAACAAGCGGCTGACCTTTTTTGGCTCGCTGGACAGTTCCCACGTTGGAGTGCACGAAGTTCTCAAATTCAGTCTGCAAGACAGTGGCTCTGCGCCGCACTTCCTGAGGGTCTGCACCGTGGAGTTTCTGTAGCGAAGGAGAGGGAGGAGAGAGAACAGAATCAGGCAAGGATACTCGAGGAGTTTCAGAAGAGATTCTGTAAGAAGGGAAGTCAGACACTAACAACCCGGGTTGCCGTGGTGGCGGAGTAAGAAACCCCGGTTGCATGGATTTATTTTGGAAAAATTGCCAGTCATCTTTCCAGCACAGAAACCTTCACATCGAGCCTATCTATGGAAACGGCGTTACCTTTATGAACTTTCCTGTTCTTTAAGAATTTGGGTGGTGGCGGGGGAGAGAGCTCACTATAGGGCCTTCTGTTGTTGGGCACAAAATTTCATGAGAGGCAGGGACTCCTCTGTGGTGGCACCACAGCCGTATGTTATTTTACCCATTTACATGTTGGTTTTCATCCACTGGTCTTCAAAGCGGCCAATAATAGTGGAAATAATGAACTGTACCAGTTAAGAACTATACGACTGTACAACACTGAGGTCATTATCAACAGTAACAATGAGGGTTGTCAAGTGATTTAAGAAAAGGGCAACTAGAATGATAAAAAGGTTGGAACACTTTCCATGCGAAGAAAAGTTAAAACGCTTGGTGCTCTTTAGCCTGGAGAAACGACAGCTGAGGGGGTGACATGATTGATGTTTATAAGATTATGCATGGGACAGAACAGGTACAGAAAGAAGTACTTTTCTCCCTTTCTCACAGTATAAGAACTCGTGGGCACTGAATGAAATGCTGAGCAGTTGGGTTAGAACAGATAAAAGGAAGTACTTCTTCACCCAACGAGTGATTAACACATGGAATTCACGGCCACAGGAGGTGGCGGCGGCTACAAGCATGGATGGCTTCAAGAGGGAATTAGATAAGTATATGGAGCAGAGGTCCATCAGTGGCTATTAGCCACAAGTTATAGAGAGGAACTCTTGGTCTGGGGCGAGTGATGCTCTGTATTCTTGGTGCTTGGGGGGGCAACAGTGGGAGGGCTCCTGGTGTCCTGGCCCCACTGCTGGACCTCCTGATGGCCCCTGGTATATTTGGCCACTGTGTGACAGAGTGTTGGACTGGATGGGCCATTGGCCTGATCCAACATTGGCTTCTCTTATGTTCTTATATTCTTATGTAAGAAATCTTAGCTTATTAACTGTTTAACTGATTAAATCTGCATACATGTAACCCATGGATACCACACCACTACCCAAGGAAAAATGTTGTGACAAGCACTTCTTTGGAACAGGCGTTCCCTCCATGTTGGAAGGAGGAAGACAACGTCTAAGATTCTGCTCACCACTTTCAATTTGTGGAAGTTCTTGAATCAACCGGGAACATCTCTCTAGCAGAGCAAAATGGCTTTCGCCAATTAACACGCTAAGACTTGGCAGCCTCAGTAACAACATCCAACACAGGCTGGAGCAAACCGACACCACAAAATGGTAAAGGTCAGGAGAAACAAGCAAGTCTTCCATTTAGGGTTGCCAGCTCTGGGTGGGGGAATTCCTGGAGATTTAGGGGATGGAGCCTGGGGAGGGGAGGGTTTGGGGAGGGGAGTGGAAGATAGGCGGATTTTCCGGGCGCGATCACACCGCAACATCTGGGAAGCGTCGAGCTCCCGTGGCGAACCCGAGGCTTCCCGCCGAAGATGCGGAGTTAAAAACTAGTACCTCCGAGGTAGTAGTTTCTGGAAACCACGGGGCAAGGGCTGGCGTCTGATCGCGTTTCCGGTGGTTGCATCCGGCGCCTGCCCATGTCCCTTCGCAAACAGGTTCCCCCCCCCAAGTCTCCACAAGATGCGCACAAGCACCCAACGGCACATGCGCACAAAGAGGAAAGCAAAAGTGCCCTTTCGGCTTTTAAAAAAAAATGACCCTGTTTGTCACGGCACCTAGCCATTGCTGGTGTGATCGCGCCGTGCCGCTTCTTTGCCGTGCTGCAGGATCGTCATGTGAACGCCACCCTCGTTTACCCGCCGACATGGAGGGACGGACCCGTGGTGTGCCTCCGGCGCGTCTGATCGCGTAATCGTGGATCAAACTGCGCCGGGGCAATTAGCCACGCCTCCCCCCGCGATATCAGGCCCGTGTGACCGGGGCCTATATTTATTTTATTTTTCATTTTGTGACATCAGTGCCCCCCGACTTATTTAAAGGCCTCCCCCGAATTACAAAATCCTGGCTACAGTCCTGGCAACCCTATTTGTATTCCGGGCAGAGGGAACGTCGCCATACGGGAGCCACCACCAGGAAGGCACTGAGTTCTACTGATTCCAGAGGTGCCTCAGATTCCAGAGGTGACCAAAACGGCAAAAGGCTCTTCAAATCCAGTCTCAGCTAGACAAAGAAGTTCACACAGAACAGAGGACAGTGGCATCTGCTGTCCAAACCAGCCCACGAAATGCCTGGAAATTCTGACAGGGAGTGAAAATGTTTTTTGTGGGGAACCCCCCCCCCCCAGGCCAATACTGGCTCCTCCTCCAGAATTCAAGCAGAAATTTTGCTCTGCTACCTGAGATCCTTTTAACGAGGGATGCCAGAGAGCGGATCTGGGACCTTAAACAGGAGCTCTACCAACCCCACCATTTCTTAATACAAATTAGCTGTGGCTGCTGTCTCCTTCCCGGTCTATTTCCAGCTGCTAGGTTTTAAGAGGTTTGTGATTTTAGTGAGGTGATTCATCCACTTTATATACATGGGCACGAATTGGCATGACACAGCACTTCGAAGTCCCCCCGCCATCAACAGAATGGAAAGGAACCGGAACCCAGGAAACGAGTTGTAATAAACACAAAAAAGCACAACAATTAAACATACAGAACAACTGTGAGTACAGAAAGAGGGGAAACCTCACCCTCTCCATCCCATATTACCGGCTCTTAAAACAGACTTCTCCCCCCCCTCCTCTTCTTTACTTTATGCAACTCCTCTCCTATTATTTCAACACTAGATTTGGGAGGGGGGGGGAGAAACTGAGAAAGGAATACGCTAACGGTTGCAAAAAAAATGCTTATAGCTCCAAATGGAAAGAGTAAAAATAAGCCACCTTTGAAAGGCTGTCTTCAAACACTGGCAGGTTCTGCTTATGTACAATTACAGCAGCATCACAGACCCGATTAGGGAAGCTGAAGGCCATGCAGGAAGATTTGCCAAAAGATGGCAGGTGACTGTCGCTTTCGGGGAGAGGGGAAAACCCTCAGGATGATGCGTGAATGCAAATATTGCTGATGTTGTGACTGCGGCTCAAGAGAATTTAAAATTATTTATGTTTGGAATTAGTTGCCACCCTGGTTAGGAAGCTTGCAATTTTCACTGCTGTCTATATAAAGTATTCCTTTTCTCAAGTCAGCTAAGAGGGGGAACACTTGGCCTTAAAAAAAGAAAGCATACTGGTGACGACACAGGCCCTGTCCAATAGGTGCCTATAATGCTCCTCCAACCACATTTTAACCAACACTCTCCAGCAAAAGCACTAGCTTTGGTGATGCTGGGGTGCTGCGTTGACCCAAGTACAAAACACTGTGCTATGTGAAATGGGAAGACGAGAACCTGTGTGGTGTAGGGGATAGAGAGGTGAACTAGGACCTTGGACGACCTAGGTTCAAATTCCCACTTCTGCCCTGGAAGCTTGCTGGGTGACCCTGGGCCTGTCACAAACTCTCAGCCCAGCCTACCTCGCAGGGCTGTTGTGAAAAATGGAGGAGAGGAGGACATTCTAAAAACTGCTCTGAGACTTAACTGGGGAGAAAGGAGGGATATAAATGAATACATGCAAACGCAAAGATTCACTTGAAAAATTCCCTGCTGAAAGGCTCATGCAATACTTAAGTAACTGCACTACAACCACGCTAAATATAGTCTGTGAAGTCTCTGGTTTCTACCAGGAGGTATCAGCCGGAACTAAGAAATAAATCAGATTGCATTAAATGTGTAGGTCTTGTGCCCTGACCTGGATAGACTAGGCAAATCCGATCTCGTCAGATCTCGGAAGCTAAGCAGGGTCGACTCTGGCAAGTATTTGGATGGGAGACCTCCTTGGAATACCAGAGGTGGGAGGTGGGGGCAGGCTTTATCCAGCCTCCTCTCTGAATAGCCTTCAGGCCCCCAGTATTGGTGAGTCACCAGAGGTAGCCCAGGCAAACCCGATCTCGTCAGATCTTGGAAGCTAAGCAAGTATTTGGATGGGAGACCTCCTTGGAATACCAGAGGTGGGAGGTGGGGGCAGGCTTTATCCAGCCTCCTCTCTGAATAGCCTTCAGGCCCCCAGTAGGGGTCAGTCACCAGAGGTAAACACATATTAAAAAAAATACAAAAAAATACCCCCGCAAAAAATTGTGTAGGTGTTGCCACCAAAGCCCAGCCAGCTGCCTGTAGATTGTGGTCTGCAAATCAGGGCTCAGTTTCCTTGGTGCAAATCACCCGCCCACTTCCCTTGTCAGCTCTCACAATGTTTTTGGTATCTCAAACACCAAAAGCTAACCACGGTTTGCAAGCCCTAAGTTAGGATGGGAACCCTGGCTAGCTTCAGCGTGAACATAATGCTAAGCAGACAAAAGGAGGCAGGGAAATCTGTGTTGAGGAGGAGCGCACGTTCCTGGACCCAAGACTGGACCCAAACCTGCAAACTACGGTTTGCAGAAAGATAGTATTATGTTTGCCCCAGACATCATGCTTCATTATATTTTTATAGTTATTTTAAAAATCCAGACTGCTGCATACTCTCGCCAAAACTGGAAACTGCTTCAGAAGAGAGAGATTCCATATACTCCAAACCATTTTCTGTGGTGGTGGAGCTCTGCAAGCGCGCTAAACTGGGCTATTCAGACCTCCCTGCACAGCTGTTCATATTGCAGCACTGAAAATCAAATCAGATTTTTAGCAGGTGGCAGAGGTATTTGGTAACACTGTTAAGCAAGGAGGGTGAAAAAACATTTTGTAAGGCAGAATTTCTCCTGCCAACCTAGCACTTCGAAAGCAAGAAACTGCAAGTAGATAAATAGGTACCGCTTCAGTGAGAAGGTAACAGCG